ATCTAAAACCTATTTCACACATTTGCAACATCTGTCATATTGCTTTACTTCCTATCTATTATAAGCCTTTTCTAAGGTCCTAAATGCAACAAAAAGTTCCTTTTCTTTACATGCTTCAATTTAAACACTTGTTTTACACATCCCCTACCCTTCCTAAATCCTTGTTCTTCTGTAATCTTACTTTCTGTTACCCTTAATTCTTTCAATAACAATTTTATCATACACTTTACCTGGTATAATCAACAGGCTTATTCCCCTATAATTCTTACATTTTCTTTTGTTTCTTCTTTTCCTTATACAAAGGAACAATGCGTGTTCTCTGCCAATCCCTAAATACCATCCCCTTTTTCATCCATATAAGGTGCTATCAAAAAGTTCCATTTGCTTCCTGGGTGAAACCATGGTAGTGGTGTAGATCACACTGCACAGTACAGTCCTTTGTGAAATAGCAGGGCGAGTTTCAGTGTGGTCTGTCATTCTGTTGTAGTTAGATGAGTATTTTTTGTCATGTTCAGTGATGCTGCTATTCCTGTGTAACAGAATGGAATCTTTACAAGAAAGAATAGTGTGTGTGTGAAATTCTGTTTGAAGTTTAGTAAAACAGCTAGTGAAACTCACAAAATGCTTCAGTGAGCATCTGGCAACAAAACGAAGGGTTGGACACAGTATTCTGAACGGTTTTCTTAATTAAAACCAGGACAAATGTCAACTGAGGATGATGAACGCTCTGATCATCATCCTTCTTTTTTCAACAAACCAGCCATATCCCACCATGGAAGGGTGACCAAAAAAGAAAACAAAAGTTCATCTTTTTAAACTTAGTAATCTTTCTTTCTTTCAACACACCGGCTTATCCCAACGAGGCGGGGTGGCCGAAAAGGAAAAACGAAAGTTTCTCCTTTTATATTTAGTAATACTATACAGGAGAAGGGGTTACTAGCCCCTTGCTCCCTGCATTTTAGTCGCCTCTTACGACACACATGGCTTACGGAGGAAGAATTCTGTTCCACTTCCCCATGTAGATAAGTGGAAATAAACAAGAACTAGTAAGAAAACAGAAGAAAACCCATAGGGGGTATGAATATATATGCTTGTACATGCATGTGTAGTGTGACCTAAGTGTAAGTAGAAGTAGAAAGGTGTACCTGATACCTTTTATTTTTTTTTTCAACAAACTGGCCATATCTCACCGAGGCAGGGTGGCCCAAAAAGAAAAACATAAGTTTCTCTTTTTAAATTTAGTAATTTATACAAGAGAAGGGGTTACTAGCCCCTTGCCCCCAGCATTTTAGTCGCCTCTTACAACACCCATGGCTTACGGAGTAAGAATTCTATTCCACTTCCCCATGGAAATAAGAGGAAATAAACAAGAACAAGAACTTCTTTTGCACACCCTACCAAATTCATCCACCAATCTCTGCAACTTCTCTTCAGAATCCCCCAAGAGCACTCTTTGCTGATGACACTGTGCTCTTGGGAGATTCTGAAGAGAAGTTGCAGAGATTGGTGGATGAATTTGGTAGGGTGTGCAAAAGAAAAAAATTAAGGTGAATACAGGAAAGAGTAAGGTTATGAGGATAACAAAAGATTAGGTGATGAAAGATTGAATATCAGATTGGAGGGAGAGAGTATGGAGGGAGGTGAACGTATTCAGATATTTGGGAGTGGAGTGTCAGCGGATGGGTCTATGGAAAAATGGGGTGAATCATAGAATTGATGAGGGAAAAAAGAGTGAGTGGTGCACTTAGGAGTCTGTGGAGACAAAGAACTTTGGTCCTTGGAGGCAAAGAGGGGAATGTATGAGAGTATAGTTTTACCAACGCTCTTATATGGGTGTGAAGGTGGGTGATGAAAGTTGCAGCGAGGAGGGAAAGGGTGGAGGCAGTGGAGATGTCATGTCTGAGGGCAATGTGTGGGTGAATTAATGCAGAGAATTCGTTAGTTTGGGGAAATTAGGAGGAGGTGCGGGATTACCAAAAAATGTTGTCCAGAGGGCTGAGGAAGGGTTGTTGAGGTGGTTCGGACATGTAGAGAGAATGGAGCGAAAAAGAATGACTTCAAGAGTGTATCAGTCTGTAGTGGAAGGAAGGCGGGTAGGGGTGGCCTAGGGAAGGGTTGGAGGGAGGGGGTAAAGGAGGTTTTGTGTGCGAGGGGCTTGGACTTCAGCAGGCATGCCCTGAGCGTGTTTGATAGGAGTGAATGGAGACAAATGGTTTTTATATTGACGTGCTGTTGGAGTGTGAGCAAAGTAACATTTATGAAGGGATTCAGGGAAACCGGCAGGCCGGACTTGAGTCCTGGAGATGGGAAGTACAGTGCCTGCACTCTGAAGGAGGGGTGTTAATGTTGCAGTTTAAAAACTGTAGTGTAAAGCACCCTTCTGGCAAGACAGTGATGGAGTGAATGATGGTGAAAGTTTTTCTTTTTCGGGCCACCCTGCCTTGGTGGGAATCGGCCGGTGTGATAATAAAAAAAAAAATAATAAAGAACTTGAAAGAAAATAGCAGAAAACCCAGAAGGGTGTGTATATATATGCTTGTACATGTATGTGTAGTGTGACATAAGTGTAAAAAGAAGTAGCAAGATGTACCTGAAATCTTGCATGTTTATGAGACAGAAAAAAGACACCAGCAATCCTACCATCATGTAAAACAATTACAAGTTTCCATTTTACACTCACTTAGCAGGATGGTAGTACCTCCCTGGATGGTTGCTGTCTACCAACCTACTACCTAAGTCTGTTCATCCATCAACATCTAAAACAGATGCCAACATTAAAAAAGTGAGGAAGGCTAGTCATAAAGATCATCATCAGAGTATCCAGGACACTACAAATACAACTGACTATTTCTTACTAACACAAGATTTTATACCTCATTGCCCAATGTTTGAAATCACTGTTTCCCTTTCTTCATCCATATTTAATGGCTCCTCAAGATACTTCCTCCATCTTTCCATTATCTCTACCTCCCCATCTAACATCTCTCATCTCTTGTTTTTTAATCACCAAGTTAAAGATAAAGATTTTATTTCTTTGCAAAGGTTACAATGTGTAATTACAATTTAAGTACAAAGTAAGCCAATATCATGCTGGGGCATTTCAGGCAGACTAATCTCAATATTTAAAAACTACTTAAGTCGAGCCAAGATAAGAATGGTTATCTTTTTAATAAATCCTTATCTTATCTTAATACTAATGCAAGGTAGTCAAAGATGGAGGTTTATAAGAATAATAATCTTGAAGTTGCACATAACAAATAACAATATTACAAATAACTGTTCGAACAGTACTGTTTTACAGATTAGCAAATGTTTTAAAAGACTAGAGGCCATATAATATTAGGGAGAGTTGCTTCAAACTGATTAGAAGTTCTTTTGGTTAGTATTGAGAGATGAGATGACTTTTAAGCATAGCTCTAAATTTGTATGTAGTAACTGTTTTTTTAATATTGAAAAAGCATTCAGGATAATATCGCTCCCACATTGATACTGTTGGCTTGAGGGGTTGATGATTGAGGTTGGTGATGTGGTGTTGAAGGTTGCAGATCTTGGGATGTTGATGCAGCTTCATTAGTTGATTGTTGCAATGGAGAGCTGGTCACCATCTGGAAAAGACCTGGGCTGGGACATGTACCAGCGAATCATTCAAGTTCAAGAGCTCAGGTATTCTGTAATATGCCACTGGTTTGTTTTATCCTGCAGTTCTTTATACAGCCCACTGCTCATTTTAAACATGTTAAACCATTGTAATAATGTTGGTAAAAGGACACAAGTGCAACTAATGTGACGTTTTATTGTGGTAACGTTTCGCTCTCCAGGAGCTTTATCAAGTTCCTGGAGAGCAAAATGTTGCCACAATAAAATGTCACATTAGTTGCACTTGTGTCCTTTTACCTAACATGTTAAACCATCCAGATCTAAACTTTAGAGAACACCTTTCTTTGTTCTTCAATTCACACATCTAGTAAACTTTCTGTTTTACTTAGCCATTATAACATATTCCTCATTCTTTTCACTATGCCATACTGAGGATTACTCATTGCACAAGCCTTAGTTTTGGCTGTCTCAAATTGAATGAATCATTGATTCTCTAACACCAAACACTCGTGCCGTCTCCATGACACATGCACCACCCTTCAGCATTTCAATTATCTCTTTTTTTTTTTTTAAATAGGCATAGCATCATTCTTAATTTTCTTCCTTGCGTCACCAGCATCACCTGCACTCCATTTCGATGCCATGATAAATATTCAGATAGGAGATATGGTGATGAAAATAAGGAAAAACTCATTGAGAATCATTCAGTAAGTATCCAAATACACTGATCTGCATGGGAGGCTGTTTGTTTATGTCTGTTCACCCTCCCTCACACCCTTGAACTGTTAAAATAATGGAGTTGCCTAATGAGTGATGAATTCCCTGCCTGTCTAACATGGCACCCCTTAACAGAAAGAAGTCATCGATGGAAATAAATTCCGCTCCAGCGCGCCTTAATGGAAATGGTGCACTTCTATTGAAAATGAAAACCTAAATTTATATCACATAATATATTAACAATGCAAGCTATGATCTCATGACACATGGTTGTCTACTGTACATGCAGAACAAGACACCATGACACCATATGAGCATTTTCCTTGTCATTTAATGAACTATAATGTCAAAGAGTTTTCCTTTTATTGAATATTTTCAAACAAATAAAAGGACCTTCGCAAACTCAATGACACTGATTTATACACAAGACTAACCCTTAAACTGTCCAAACGTAGATCTACGTTCACGTGCGTAGCACTCCAACCTTGATTTTCCCCATTTGAAAGCATGTAAAAAAAACGTAGATCTACGTTCGGAGCCTGCCGCAAGTCAACATAGATCTACGTTTGGACAGTTTAAGGGCTAATTAGGTACAAGTAGGATGTAAACTGTTAGCTTTGTTGTAAAGTCTAACCATTAACAAGCACATATAAACAGTGTAATCTTGCATTCTATCAGGAGCTTACCCAATTCAACCTGGCTGATGCTTGGTTTATGTGCATCTCCTAGCAGGGCAAATTTCACATATGTAGTGCTATTGTGATTTGTTGTTGTTACTCGTCCACAGCTGGCCAATGACTGAACAACAAGATGAAGGTTATCTGCTGACCCAACCAACTCTCCAACTTGATGGTAGAGATCAGTGAAGGACAACAAATTGTTTGCAGAATTTAATTCCCTAGATAATTCCCAGTATCTGTTAAACACTTTGTCACACACTTCCTAGAAGATAAATGATTTCAACATGAGATACTGTAAATTAACATATTTTCAATAATTCACAAAATAAGAGGACAAAATGTACACTATTCAAGAGAATATTTGGCAGATGAAGAATTCAAATCAAAGAAACAATTATCAGGAAACAAACAGGTTTGCAAACTGAAAACTGGGACATTTTCATTACAAAAAGCATAATTTATCTTTAATTTATACCTCCTTAAAAAATGTATAGCAACATTATTAAATAAACAATAGAGGAAAGAGATGAAGGGAGTATGAATTCTTTCATTTGAAAATTTTGTATATAAGAATGAAAGTGGTTTAAAAGTGAGTTATGCACCTGGGTACAAGAGTCTAGAGCACAAAGAAATTTGATACTATTTAATATAGTATAGGTAGTAGGTTGGTAGACAGCAACCACCCAGGGAAGTATTACCGTCCTGCCAGATGACTGTGAAACAGAAACCTGTAACTGTTTTGCATGATGGTAGAATTGCTGGTTCCTTTTTCTGTCTCAAAAACACGCTAGATAACAGGGATATCTTGCTACTCCTACTTACACTTTGGTCACACTTCACAGACACACACCTGCATATATATATATACATACATCTAGGTTTTTCTCCTTTTTCTAAATAGCTCTTGTTCTTCTTTATTTCTTCTATTGTCCATGGGGAAGTGGAAAAGAATCTTTCCTCCGTAAGCCATGCGTGTCGTATGAGGCGACTAAAATGCCGGGAGCAATGGGCTAGTAACCCCTTCTCCTGTAGACATTTACTAAAAAAGAGAAGAAGAAAAACTTTATAAAACTGGGATGCTTGAATGTGCGTGGATGTAGTGCAGATGACAAGAAACAGATGATTGCTGATGTTATAAATGAAAAGAAGTTGGATGTCCTGCCCCTAAGCGAAACAAAGCTGAAGGGGGTAGGGGAGTTTCGGTGGGGGAAAATAAATGAGATTAAATCTGGAGTATCTGAGAGAGTTAGAGCAAAGGAAGGGGTAGCAGTAATGTTGAAGGACCAGTTATGGAAGGACAAAAGAGAATATGAATGTGTAAATTCAAGAATTATGTGGATTAAAGGAGGGGTGTTAATGTTGCAGTTTAAAAACTGTAGTGTAAAGCACCCTTCTGGCAAGACAGTGATGGAGTGAATGATGGTGAAAGTTTTTCTTTTTCGGGCCACCCTGCCTTGGTGGGAATCGGCCAGTGTGATAATAAAAAAAATAAAAAAAAAATAAAGTAAAGGTTGGATGCGAAAAGTGGGTCATAATAAGCGTGTATGCACCTGGAGAAGAGAGGAATGCAGAGGAGAGAGAGAGATTTTGGGAGATGTTAAGTGAATTGTATAGGAGCCTTTGAACCAAGTGAGAGAGTAATTGTGGTAGGGGACCTCAATGCTAAAGTAGGAGAAACTTTTAGAGAGGGTGTGGTAGGTAAGTTTGGGGTGCCAGGTGTAAATGATAATGGGAGCCCTTTGATTGAACTTTGTATAGAAAGGGGTTTAATTATAGGTAATACATATTTTAAGAAAAAGAGGATAAATAAGTATACAAGATATGATGTAGGGCGAAATGACAGTAGTTTGTTGGATTATGTATTGGTAGATAAAAGACTGTTGAGTAGACTTCAGGATGTTCATGTTTATAGAGGGGCCACAGATATATCAGATCACTTTTTAGTTGTAGCTACACTGAGAGTAAAAGGTAGATGGGATACAAGAAGAATTGAAGCATCAGGGAGAAGAGAGGTGAAGGTTTATAAACTAAAAGAGGAGGCAGTTAGGGTAAGATATAAACAGCTATTGGAGGATAGATGGGCTAATGAGAGCATAGGCAATGGGGTCGAAGAGGTATGGGGTAGGTTTAAAAATGTAGTGTTAGAGTGTTCAGCAGAAGTTTGTGGTTACAGGAAAGTGGGTGCAGGAGGGAAGAGGAGCGATTGGTGGAATGATGATGTAAAGAGAGTAGTAAGGGAGAAAAAGTTAGCATATGAGAAGTTTTTACAAAGTAGAAGTGATGCAAGGAGGGAAGAGTATATGGAGAAAGAGAGAGAGGTTAAGAGAGTGGTGAAGCAATGTAAAAAGAGAGCAAATGAGAGAGTGGGTGAGATGTTATCAACAAATTTTGTTGAAAATAAGAAAAAGTTTTGGAGTGAGATTAACAAGTTAAGGAAGCCTAGAGAACAAATGGATTTGTCAGTTAAAAATAGGAGAGGAGAGTTATTAAATGGAGAGTTAGAGGTATTGGGAAGATGGAGGGAATTTTGAGGAATTGTTAAATGTTGATGAAGATAGGGAAGCTGTGATTTCGTGTATAGGGAAAGGAGGAATAACATCTTGTAGGAGTGAGGAAGAGCCAGTTCTGAGTGTGGGGGAAGTTCGTGAGGCAGTAGGTAAAATGAAAGGGGGTAAGGCAGCCGGGATTGATGGGATAAAGATAGAAATGTTAAAAGCAGGTGGGGATATAGTTTTGGAGTGGTTGATGCAATTATTTAATAAATGTATGGAAGAGGGTAAGGTACCTAGGGATTGGCAGAGAGCATGCATAGTTCCTTTGTATAAAGGCAAAGGGGACAAAAGAGAGTGCAAAAATTATAGGGGATTAAGTCTGTTGAGTATACCTGGTAAAGTGTATGGTAGAGTTATTATTGAAAGAATTAAGAGTAAGACGGAGAATAGGATAGCAGATGAACAAGGAGGCTTTAGGAAAGGTAGGGGGTGTGTGGACCAGGTGTTTACAGTGAAACATATAAGCAACAGTATTTAGATAAGGCTAAAGAGGTCTTTGTGGCATTTATGGATTTGGAAAAGGCATATGACAGGGTGGATAGGGGGGCAATGTGGCAGATGTTACAGGTGTATGGTGTAGGAGGTAGGTTACTGAAAGCAGCGAAGAGTTTTTACGAGGATAGTGAGGCTCAAGTTAGAGTATGTAGGAAAGAGGGAAATTATTTCCCAGTAAAAGTAGGCCTTAGACAAGGATGTGTGATGTCACCGTGGTTGTTTAATATATTTATAGATGGGGTTGTAAGAGAAGTAAATGCGAGGGTCTTGGCAAGAGGCGTGGAGTTAAAAGATAAAGAATCACACATAAAGTGGGAGTTGTCACAGTTGCTCTTTGCTGATGACACTGTGCTCTTGGGAGATTCTGAAGAGAAGTTGTAGAGATTGGTGGATGAATTTGGTAGGGTGTGCAAAAGAAGAAAATTAAAAGTGAATACATGAAAGAGTAAGGTTATGAGGATAACAAAAAGATTAGGTGATGAAAGATTGAATATCAGATTGGAGGGAGAGAGTATGGAGGAGATGAATGTATTCAGATATTTGGGAGTGGACGTGTCAGCGGATGGGTCTATGAAAGATGAGGTGAATCATAGAACTGATGAGGGGAAAAGGGTGAGTGGTGCACTTAGGAGTCTGTGGAGACAAAGAACTTTGTCCTTGGAGGCAAAGAGGGGAATGCATGGAGTATAGTTTTACCAATGCCCTTTTATGGGTGTGAAGCATGGGTGATGAATGTTGTAGTGAGGAGAAGGCTGGAGGCAGTGGAGATGTCATGTCTGAGGGCAATGTGTGGTGTGAATATAATGCAGAGAATTCGTAATTTGGAAGTTAGGAGGAGGTGCGGGATTACCAAAACTGTTGTCCAGAGGGCTGAGGAAGAGTTGTTGAGGTGGTTCGGACATGTAGAGAGAATGGAGCGAAACAGAGTGACTTCAAGAGTGTATCAGTCTGTAGTGGAAGGAAGGCGGGGTAGGGGTCGGCCTAGGAAAGGTTGGAGGGAGGGGGTTAAGGAGGTTTTGTGTGCGAGGGGCTTAGACTTCCAGCAGGCATGTGTGAGCGTGTTTGATAGGAGTGAATGGAGACAAATGGTTTTTAATACTTGACGTTCTGTTGGAGTGTGAGCAAAGTAACATTTATGAAGGGGTTCAGGGAAACCGGCAGGCCGGACTTGAGTCCTGGAGATGGGAAGTACAGTGCCTGCACTCTGAAGGAGGGGTGTTAATGTTGCAGTTTAAAAACTGTAGTGTAAAGCACCCTTCTGGCAAGACAGTGATGGAGTGAATGATGGAAGTTTTTCTTTTTCGGGCCACCCTGCCTTGGTGGGAATCGGCCAGTGTGATAATAAAATAAAATAAAATATTACAATAATGCAGCAGTCTGCATAACAGTAAATCTTCTATTTTTGTGTGAATAAAAATTCCAAATGGTTAGCAAGAGTAATATAAGAGGGGCCTGGAGCCATTAACTAGCCATTAACAGAGAAAATGTTATTTTAGTGCTGGGAATGTCTGCACTGTTTATTCTGGACCCTATTTTGAAATTGGCATCTGTTGAAATTTGTGTGAAATCAGCCAAATTGCCAATTTCTGACCACTGTATTGGGTAGCTGAAATAAGTGAATGGGCGGTTTCTGTACTCAGTTGACAGACGAAGTAAATAAGTTTATTCAGGTACACACAAATACAATTACATAGATTATCATACATAGCAGTGTATGTATAGAGAACCTAGGATAACCCAGAAAAGTCTGACAAATTGACTTATTTCCAGTACCTGGCTTGGGCTTGCAATATATGATTTTTGGAAAATATTTTTTTTTTCTCAGTTGTTTGTTGGGCTATCTCACTGAAACTTGGGCAATGTATGATGGAAAGATGCTTCTTAATGTACAACAAAAATAAAAAAAGACGGACGATAAGTAAGGGAGTTCGCTTCTCAGCCATTAGCGGCCTCTTTGCAGTATATTTTCGTATGGTTTTTATGGTTGTATTCTCATTTTTTGGGGGACTCATTTGATAGAATGGAAGATATATTACAGAAATAGATATGATTTTGATTGCTTTCATGATGAAAAGTACCTTGAAATTGAGCTCAAAGTAGCGGAATTGTTTGATTTTTGCCTATGTTCAATGAACTTTGTGTAAGTCAAGTTGGTTAATTTTATTAAGTGTATTCTAACCTAACAACTCAGTAATCCGGCAAACTCAGTAATCTGGCACACTACAGGTCCCAATGATGCCGGATTTGTGATGGAGGACCTGTACATGTACAAGGTATGCAGGCCTAGTTGACATCAATGACATACTAATATACAGAAAGCCACTTGTTATGCAGAGCATTTTGGGCAAATTAGGTCAATTTTGTCCCAAAAAATGCAACCCACACTAGCTGACTAACACCCAGGTACCCATGTTACTGATAGGTGAACATAGACAGCAGGTGTCTTATGGAAACACATCCTGATGTTTCCCAGCTGTACCTGGGATTGGCCCCCAAATCTTAGTGTGTGAGCTGAGTGTGCTAGCAATCAAGCTACAAAACTTCAGTCCTACATTCTGAAGGAAGGGTGAAGATGATGCAGTCAAATTTGTAATCTGGATTTTTATGTCAGCACACTTTTAGCAAGACAATGATTGAACAAATGATTGTGAAAATGTTTCCCTGTCTGGATCGCCCTGACTTGGCAAGAGATGGTGGATAAGGTAAAAAAAAAAAATAAAAATAAAAATGTTAATGTAATGAAATTAAATGAATACTGAGTTATGGCAATGGAACACAAAATGAACCCAAGTATGAAAAAATCAGTTATACACACAATATTTTGTGGCACTGAATTTGCAATTCTGGATTACTGGAACTTCTACCCCACTAATTTACAGAAAGGAATTAGGTATGTTAATCAGTAACAACATGTAAATCTGGCATACACTATGTTGCTTACACAAGTTCACCTATTATTATTATTCCAACTCTACCTGCAACACTACTGCATTAACAAGTGTTGTCGTCTTCAAATCATAAGCACCAATAACTTGTTTGAGTCCTTTCCAAGCAACACGAGACGGTTGAGCTATGAAGATACGATAGCCCCAGCCACTCCAAGATTCTTTTGTTGGTTCACCCAATGGTAGCTGCTCCACTGGAAGCACTTCACCTAGACTGTAAAAGCAGAATAACAAAGTAAAAAATAATTAATGACCTATTAAGAAATATATTAATAACTTATGTAAATACCATATGGTAGTGTTAAAGGCTACAAAAAATAAATTAATCAAAAAAGTAAATCATGTTAAGATAAATGAAATGATAGAAACTCTGAGACTGGAGACAGACTTCGGTAAACTGAAGATGGGTGAGAGCTATGAACATAAGACTCCAAAACTACATCCACATTTGTACATTTTAAATAATGAACATAGCTTATACAATTCATGTGCTGTACAGTATAAAATATCTACGCTACCTGTTCATGTGCAAAAGAACATCGGGTAAACCGAGAGGAGTCTGAGTACCTCGTCGAAATGCACTCTGACATTCCTGAAAGGAAATATATGATATATATAATGAGCTAGTTTGTAGGTAAGAGAAGAAATGGAAGACCAAGCATGTATGCAAATATGGAGAACGAATACGAGAAACATGGTATGAAAATAAACAATACAGAAAATGAAGCAATGGAAAACTGAATGGAATAAACTCAATGTAATAAATAAAATACTGACACTGTTATTATGACAATTCATGTGGCATACATTAGACAAAGCATCTTCCTGGCATACATTAGACAAAGCATCTTCCTGGCATACATTAGACAAAGCATCTTCCTGGCATACATTAGACAAAGCACCTTCCTGGAATACATTAGACAAAGCATCTTCCTGGAATACATTAGACAAAGCATCTTCCTGGAATACATTACACAAAGTATCTTCCAGGCATACAATACACAGCATCTTCCTGGCATACATTACACAGCATCTTCCTCGAATACATTACACAAAGCATCTCCTGGTATACAATACACAGCATCTTCCTGGCATACATTACACAGCATCTTCCTGGCATACAATACACAGCATCTTCCTGGCATACATTACACAGCATCTTCCTGGCATACAATACAGCATTTCCCGGATTTCAATTACACGCATCTTACTGGCATACATTACACAGCTCTTCTGGCATTCATTACACACCATTTCCTGGCATACTTACACAAATCATTTTTCCTGGTATACATTTACACGAAGATTTTTCCTGGATATTTTACACAGCATCTTCCTGGCATACATTACACAGCATCTTCCTGGCATACATTACACAAAGCATCTTCCTGGCATACATTACACAGCATCTTCCTGGCATACATTACACAAAGCATCTTCCTGGCATACATTACACAAAGCATCTTCCTGGCATACATTACACAGCATCTTCCTGGTATACATTATACAAAGCATCTTCCTGGCATATATTACACAAATCATCTTCCTGGCATACATTACACAGAGCATCTTCCTGACATACATTACACAAATCATCTTCCTGGTATACATTACACAAAGCATCTTCCTCGCATATATTACACAAATCATCTTCCTGGCATACATTACACAGCATCTTCCTGACATACATTACACAAATCATCTTCCTGGCATACATTACACAGCATCTTCCTGGCATATATTATACAGCATCTTCCTGGCATACATTACACAGCATCTTCCTGGCATACATTACAAAGCATCTTCCTGGCATACATTACACAGCATCTTCCTGGCATACATTACACAAATCATCTTCCTGGAACACATTACACAAAGCATCTTCCTGGCATACATTACACAAATCATCTTCCTGGCATACATTACATAGCATCTTCCTGGCATACATTACACAGCATCTTCCTGGCATACAATACACAGCATCTTACTGGCATACATTACACAGCATCTTCCTGGCATACAATACACAGCATCTTCCTGGCATATTTACACAAAGCATCTTCCTGGTATACATTACACAGCATCTTCCTGGCATACATTACACAGCATCTTCCTGGCATACATTACACAGCATCTTCCTGGCATACATTACACAAAGCATCTTCCTGGCATACATTACACAAATCATCTTCCCGGCATACAATTTTCACAGCATCTTCCAGGCTACATTACACGCTTCTTCTAGCTTTCATTACACAGCATCTTCCTGGCATACATTACACAGCATCTTCCTGGTATACATTACACAAATCATGTTCCTGGCATACATTACACAGCATCTTCCAGGCATACATTACACAGCATCTTCCTGGTATACATTACACAAATCATCTTCCTGGCATACATTACACAGCATCTTCCAGGCATACATTACACAGCATCTTCCTGGCATACATTACACAAAGCATCTTCCTGGCATACATTACACAGCATCTTCCTGGCATACATTACACAGCATCTTCCTGGCATACATTACACAGCATCTTACTGGCATACATTACACAAGCATCTTCCTGGCATACATTACACAGCTTTTTCCTGGCATACATTACACGCATCTTCCTGGCATACATTACACCCGCATCTTACTGGCATACATTACACGCATTTCCTGGCTTCATTACACAAAGCATCTTCCCGGCATACTTACACAAAGCATCTTCCTGGCATACATTACACAGCATCTTCCTGACATACATTACACAGCATCTTCCTGGCATACATTACACAGCATCTTCCTGGCATACATTACACAAAGCAAACTTCCTGGCAATACATTACACGCATCTTCCTGGCATACACTACACAAATCATCTTTCCTGGCATACATTACACAGCATCTTCCTGGCATATATTACACAGCATCTTCCTGGCATACATTACACAGCATCTTCCTGGCATACATTACAAAGCACCTTCCTGGCATTCATTACACAGCATCTTCCTGGCATACATTACAAAATCATCTTCCCGGAATACATTACACAAAGCATCTTCCTGGCTTAATTAAGGCATCTTCCTGGTATACATTACACAGCATCTTCCTGGCATTTCATTACACAGCATCTTCCTGGCATCATTACACAGCATCTTCTGGCATACATTACACAGATCTTCTGGTATACATTACAAGCATCTTCCTGGCATACATTACACAGCATCTTCCTGGCTACTTTACACAGCATCTTCCTGGCTTTCAATACACAGCATCTTCCTGGCAACAATTACACAAAACATCTTCCTGGCATTTCATTACACGCATTTCCTGGCATACATTACACAGCATCTTATGGCATACATTACACAGCATCTTTCTGGCATACATTACACAAAGCATCTTCCTGGTTTTACATTTCACAGCATCTTCCTGGCATACAATACACAGCATCTTCCTGGCATACATTACACAAAGTATCTTCCAGGCATACAATACACAGCATCTTCCTGGCATACATTACACAGCATCTTCCTCGAATACATTACACAAAGCATCTTCCTGGTATACAATACAAGCATCTTCTGGCATCATTACACAGCATCTTCCTGGCATACAATACACAGCATTTTTCCTGGCATTTCATTACACAGCATCTTCCTGGCATACAATTTCAAAAGCATCTTCTGGATACATTACACAGCTCTTACTGGCATACATTACACGCATCTTCCTGGATACATTACACACCATCTTCCTGGCATACATTACACAAATCATCTTCCTGGTATACATTACACGAAGCATCTCTGGCATATATTACACAGCATTTTTCCTGGATACATTACACAGCATCTTCCTGGCATACATTACACAGCATCTTCCTGGCATACATTACACAGCATCTTCCAGGCATACATTACACAAAGCATCTTCCTGGCATACATTACACAAAGCATCTTCCTGGCATACATTACACAGCATCTTCCTGGTATACATTACACAAAGCATCTTCCTGGCATATATTACACAAATCATCTTCCTGGCATACATTACACAGCATCTTCCTGACATACATTACACAAATCATCTTCCTGGTATACATTACACAAAGCATCTTCCTCGCATATATTACACAAATCATCTTCCTGGCATACATTACACAGCATCTTCTGACTACATTACACAAATCATCTTTCCCGGCTACATTTCACAGCATCTTCCTGGCATATTATACGCATCTTCCTGGATAACATTACACAGCATCTTCCGGCATACATTACAAAGCATCTTCTGCATACATTCACAGCATCTTCCTGCATACATTACACAAATCTCTTCTGGAACACATTACACAAAAGCATCTTCCTGGCATACATTACACAAAAATCTTCCGCATACAAATTACATAGCATCTTCCTGGCTTTCATTACACAGCATCTTCCGGCATACAATACACAGCATCTTACTGGCATACATTACACAGCATCTTCCTGGCATACAATACACAGCATCTTCCTGGCATATTTACACAAAGCATCTTCCTGGTATACATTACACAGCATCTTCCTGGCATACATTACACAGCATCTTCCTGGCATACATTACACAGCATCTTCCTGGCATACATTACACAAAGCATCTTCCTGGCATACGTTACACAAATCATCTTCCTGGCATACATTACACAGCATCTTCCAGGCATACATTACACAGCATCTTCCTGGCATACATTACACAGCATCTTCCTGGCATACATTACACAGCATCTTCCTGGTATACATTACACAAATCATCTTCCTGGCATACATTACACAAATCATCTTCCTGGTATACATTACACAAATCATCTTCCTGGCATACATTACACAGCATCTTCCTGGCATACAATACACAGCATCTTCCTGGCATACATTACACAAATCATCTTCCTGGCATACATTACACAGCATCTTCCTGGCATACATTACACAAATCATCTTCCTGGTATACATTACACAAAGAATCTTCCAGGCATACATTACACAGCATCTTCCTGGCATACATTACACAGCATCTTCCTGGCATACATTACACAAATCATTTTCCTGGTATACTTTACACAAAGAATCTTCCAGCATACATTACACAGCATCTTCCTGGCATACATTTTCACAGCATCTTCCTGGCATACATTACACAAAGCATCTTCCTGGCATACATTACACAGCATCTTCCTGGCATACACTACACAAATCATCTTCCTGGCATACATTACACAGCATCTTCCTGGCATATATTACACAGCATCTTCCTGGCATACATTACACAGCATCTTCCCGGCATACATTACAAAGCACCTTCCTGGCATTCATTACACAGCATCTCCCGGCATACATTACACAAATCATCTTCCTGGGGAAAACATTACACGAGCATCTTCCTGGATAATTACACGGCATCTTCCTGGTATACATTACACAGCATCTTCCTGGCATACATTACACGCATCTTCCTGGCATACATTTACACAGCATTTTTCCTGGCATACATTACACAGCATCTTCCCGGTATACATTACACAGATCTTCTGGCATCATTACACAGCATCTTCCTGG